GAATTGCAACTTGATGATTTAACTCAAACTGGAAGATTTAAGGGACATATAGTTTAAGTTCGTGTTTTAAGCAGCATTTCAACTTGAAGATTTAACTCAAACTTTAAAATTAAGTTACACACAATTGAAGCTCGTGTTTCTAGGAGCATTTCAACTTGAAGATTTAACCTAACTTGAAGATATAATTGACATACAGTTTAACCTCGTGTTTCAAGAAGTATTTCAACTTGAAGAATTAACTCAAACTTGAAGATTTAACTCCAACATGAAGATCTAAGTGACATACAATTTAATATCGTATTTCAATGAGCATTCAACTTGAAGATTTAACTCAAACATGAATATTTAAGTGACACACAGTTTAAGCTCGTGTTTCAAGGAGCATTTCAACTTGAAGATTTAACTTTAACTTGAAGATTTAAATTTAACTTGAAATTTAAGATCGTGTTTCAAGGATCATTTTAACTTGAAGATTTAACTCTAACTTAAAGAATTAAGTGACATGCAATTTAAGCTCGTGTTTCAAGGTTCGTTTCAACTTGAAGATTTAACTCAAACTTGAAGATTTACGTGACATACAATTTAAGATCGTATTTCAAGGAGTATTTCAACTTGAAGATTTAACTCTAACTTGAAGATTTAAGTGATATATAGTTTAAGCTCCTGTTTCAAGGAGCATTGTAACTTCAAGTTTAAGCTCCTGTATTAAGGAGCATTGTAACTTGAAGTTTAGGCTCATGCATTAATGAGAGTCTAGATATACAATGACTCTTCAAAGTCATCTTAGGATGCAGACTTGCCCCCACTTTGGATTTCTTCTATATCTTCATCTTCATGAGGTCAGTAGAGAGGAGATTGTTGATCTTCTCTTAAATACATACTTAATTCCATGTCATGTGCACGAGTTGCCAACTCTTGAAATGTTTTGGTCTTTAATCCTTGAAAAATGTCGTGAAGACCCCAATTCATTGGTAGAAATTTTACTAAGGCGTTTTTTGTAGTTCAGGCTCAGACTTCTCCGATGATTGATAAAGTCAACAACTAACTCATCTTCACCTTGACGAGCCTTTGTATGTTCTATCATACTAATGACACGTCTTGTTCTATAAAAATGATTAAGGAACTATTGCTCTAATCGCTCCCAACTATCTATAGAATTAGGTTCAAGATTTATGTACCAATCAAATGCATTTGCTCTGAGAGATTGAAAAAACTCTTTAACAAGATAATTATCATACGTCCCTATAGCATTGCAAGTCTCGATAAAGTGAGATATATATGTTGTTTGGGAGTTTCATTTCCCATCAAATTGTTGAAACTTCAGAGGTTGATAACCCTCAAACATTTTCAAGTTATAAACCCTTTATGTATATGTCTTTACATATAGGGAAAAAATTTGGATGAAGACTCAGATTTGTCTTTGATTGTCTCTATGATAGAGTTCTTTAACTGATTAATTGGAATAAAACCTTCATCTGAGATATGAATCTATTTGATCTTTTTTTGCTTTAAGAAAGACACTTCTTTGTGTTGAATTTTAGAATGCTTCAAAGGTGATTGACTTGATCTTCTTTCAATCATGTTATCCATCTTATTTGTTAGCTTTGAAAGTTTAGCATCTTTTTCGTGTGCGCACTTTTTCAGGTCTTCAATTGCTTTATTTAAGCTTTCTAGTTGTTCTTCATTAGTGGAAGACATTTTAATATTCCTTGATTCTTGAAGAGCTGAGAAAAGAGGTAGAGATTGTCCCACTGGGCGTGTAGAATTTGTAGACAACAAAATTCGCGTCGAAAAAATAATAATCAAGTACGGAAAATTATAACAACAATCAATTTTATTATTTCAAATGTGATTATTAAAATCTCTATGATTGCTCTGAATTCACCTTTTGAAATATAAATGCAAGGGCTTTAAAGCTTGTTCTTGAATCTCTAATGAACTTGTACTTGAACATTATCTTGATCTTGACTTGTTTTTTAATTCAAGGGATTCGAGCTTGTTCTTGAATTCGATGGCCTTGATTTTGATTATTCTTGAACTTGAATGCTTGAATTCCTAATCTTGTAGCTTTGTAGAGAATTAAATGGCGTTTGTACCATGGATTTTCTCTATCTTCTTGTTTAGAAATTTCTTTCTTCTCTTTTCAGAATTATGAGACCCTTATTTATAGTTTTAGAATAGAGGTGTTGCGGTTGGAAAAGAAATCCCTTCGGCCAATCATATTTAAGTGAAATATCATACGGGCTTTTTGGAGCAGGCTTTAATTAAATTCATATGTATCTGAATTTAAATGATTAAATCAATTATATTAATCCATAATATTTATTTGGAATAATATATTCATTAATTTATTATAATCATAACAACTTTATAAATTTATATTTAATAAATATTAAGTGACTACACGCACCAGATTTCGACACATGGAAGAATTGTGAGAGGACAAAGGGAAAACGAAATTGCTGGGTCGGATGTTTTTTGACTGGGCTCGTGATTGCTGGGTTTTGAAAGGAATCAAGATTTGGGGGTCTTTGATTTGTTGGGTATCTGGAGAAGAAGATGAAGACGCATGGATCATTTTTTTTTGAAGTTGTAAGGTGATGTTGGATATTTGTTGAGAATTGAGCTTGGATCGGGTTGGATGGTGTAAAGTTTGGGTTGCGGCGCTTGAGAAAGAATTGGGCTGAAGGAAATATTGAATTGGGTTTGCTAAAATAAAGGCCCAAAACATTGGTCTCTAAATAGGTTGAAGATGTTTGACTACAATTGTAATAGAATAATGAATAATTTAATCAAATGAATTAAAGGCGTAACCAAAGAATTGATTTTTGAACATTCGACTATTATTTAAATAGGACTAATTAATATTAATTAATAAACGAGCTTCTTAATCTTAATGAAATAAAATAATTAACTTCATTATAAACTAATGATTTAAAAATATAACCATAATTTAAACTAAGCTAATTTGATAAAATACTTACTAAAATTAAAATCCTCTTGAGATGATATTCGAATAATCATAAAACATATTAATTATATACATAATTATGTAAAATATACGTTTTCTAGAAATTATAAAAAGTGACAAAACTATGGAAAATAATTAAGGTGCAAACTATGTATTTTTCTTAATATTTTTATAAAACTAATTATCTTTGATCGTATGACATCGAAGAACCACGAATTGATTAATTTATATGGTGGAAGTCCAAAATTTGGTGTCAACAACCATTAACATAGAATATGCCATTCCAATAGTAAGTAGAGGGTTTATCATAAGGATATGACTTCAACCATGATAATACATTTTATTCAATCCCATTAAAAGAAACAAATATCCTTAAACAAGCTACGTGATCAATATAAGTTCTAGATTTATCACATTTGCATAAAGATTACGAAACCAATGCATCAAACTCATCCTTAAAAATCATAATTTCAAGAAATATGTTGAAATAGTCGAATTACCTTGATGAATTGTGTGGATCTCCCTGTGTAGTTGATATCCATCAACCTTATCAAATCTCTCTTTTAGATCTGTCCACATGATGGTTGTATTTCTAGCAATAGCAATACCACCGAGCAGCTTCGTCGATATAGAGTTCATGATCCAAGAAAGTACAAACGTATCGCATTTCACTCATTGCTCTTTCCATTCTTCTTGATAAGCACTCTTCTTGCAAGTTCCCAACACAAACCTGAACATACTCTTTGCTCGAAGGTTAATCAACATGAATCACTTCATAAAGAGTAAGTTCATATCCTTGTAAGCTGCACATCGATGAGCACACTAGCAGGAGTGTGAATAATGAAGATGAAGTGGATGGATTTGCTTTCAGTCGACATCACCGATTGTTTCAACTGTAAATATTTGTGATGCATTAATGGTGGAAGCTTCAACATCTCCCATCTCTCTGGGTCATCGATTATTGTATTAAACTGACTAATAGTTTAGAGATCTGATACCATGTAGATTTTACTTGGGAGATTTAGATGAAAATTGAAACCTTATCATCACAATTACTCGTACATAAGATACATTACATTAATATATGTACAACTTCTATATCAAACTGATCTAACAAGTTTAACTAACTATATGAAAATCTAACAAACTATTCAACCAAATTAAAATAAATCTAATTATCTTGACTAACTAAATGAATTAATCAACTGATCAATTAACCAATTCTAATATACATAAGTGAAAAATTATATTTCTTTGGGAAAAGAGAGAATTGTTTTCTTCCTTGTCAGCGATTTATTTAAATTTTTTAATAAAACCGCTGCGAAGGCATTGATTTTCTTTTTATATAAAAATATATAGTAAAATAGGTTTTATTTTTTATATTATTGAAGTCGCTACTTGGGGAGTATTTTTAAGAAAAATATTTTTATATTATAACTGTAACTTTTTTTTTCGAGAAAAATGTTTCCCCTACAATGATATAAGGGAAAAAAAACATGTTTTGGATACAATTGTTGCTACCCAATGATTTTTAATTTTAATGGAGTAACAAATTCAGTATTGTGCCAGAGGAATATTATTTCATCAAAGCGATTTTTCCGTATTGATTTTTTTTAAAAAAAATTGATGAGTCCTTTTGAAATTTTTGAGAAATTTTTGTTTTTTTGCATTTTGGCTATCGACTCCTATATAATCTATAAAAGTAATAAAAATGTTATTTAGGTATTAACTACTCTAAGAAATTAGGTACTATCAATTGAAGAACTGTATAGAATTTTTTTTTAAAAAAAAGAGTTTTTTTTGTTGTGGCATCAACTTCTTATTCGTGACTCTTGATGTATAAGTAGATTTTTTTTTTGAAGATAAAGTCTTTGAGTGTGGCCAAACTCCAAAGGTTTGATGTGGTGTTGCTTATATATGAGTACTTCTAGCGCTATAATGCAAGTTTTTTAAATAATTTTTTTGCTTGGAGCCGTTTATTGAATAAATTGTTGTCCATACATATAAAATGGCCCATGGCCCAATAATAATGAAAATACAGAATACCTAATTTTGTCCGATCTCTACTCATCCTTGGTGAGTACACAATATTCTTTCGTCCACTTTCTCCTATACATTGTGGAAGAAAATTCTAGTTGTTCTGCCTCCTCCTTTGAATAATTTTTGAGCTCGAGTGGTATTCTTTGTTACCTGGTAAGTTCGCTTCCTTTCTACCTCATTTTCTTCTTCGCTTCTACCCGCATGATCTTTGAATGATATCCCTTTCTTTTGTTCTTTTTCGAAGATGTAGATCTGGGGATGTATCTTTCCCTTGAAAGATTCTAAAGCTCTATCGGTAATGTCCAATCCACTTGTCTCTGTGTTTATTTGATGTAACTTTGTCGTAGTTAGGGTAAAATATAGATTTATTTCTTGACATTTCCCCCTTTACACTATGATTATATATTATATTATTCTATGTAGATCTGTCAATATCTGTAGTAGTCTGCTTTTCTTTCCTTTGAAGATGTGATTTTTGTATGTTCATTGCTGAAAATCGATTATTCTTGATATGATTATCAATATTGATATTTATTATTTGTCTATATTTATATTTGTCCTGATATTGCTTGGTAAATCAGCAAAACTGTTGTACTCCTTTCTTTGTTTTGTTTCCACTACTCAATGAGCCAATAAGTCTGCAACATTATTACCTTCTCTAAATATATGAGTGATGTTTGCATTAAATTTTTGTGATCTCATCCTTATCTTATCTGTTCTTTCCGCCAGCTCGTAAGGTACCTTCCATTCCTTCTTATCATTTTCATCAGACTTAGTGAGTCATTTTGATTGTTACTTCCATCACCCTGTTCTCCCAACAATAATCCAATGCTTTATAGATTCCCACTGACTATATCTCTCTGTTAGTATTATTTCCAACTTCTGCATCCCTACCATAGATCAGATTTCTTTGCGAGTTCCTTTGACAAAAGACCTATACACTTAGCCCTGGGTTCCAAATATAAACATATTCATTTCTTATCTCCTATTTCGTCCTCATAGTTTGGATGTTGGTTAAACATTAAAAGATGTTTAACTTGAATTATTTTGGGATTAAGAACTCTTCTACATCTAAGACAGGAATCCCAAAAAGATGCTACATTCATTCCAACTAACCCTCTAACCCTCTCCCGATGATACTTATGATCACAAGACTCCCTCTCTCCTCTTCTCTTCCCCACTTCTCCTCCCCCACTGAGAGGGAGTACTCTATCTATTTTGCAGTTGGATTCAAGTCTATTGACCGCACTCTGTTAGAAAAATTTAATGATTGGACTGAAAGATGTAGAGATGGCGTCACTAGAACATCTTTCGCTAGGAAGATAATGCATTGGATTATCTATAATATCTATGAAGATTCTTAGATGAATGGGAATGTAGTCAAAAGGTTGACACTGTCAGAAATCTTCTTTGCTAGGAACTTCAATAATTTTGACAGATACATCAGTCTTATTAAAGTAAGGGACAGGAGAAGGTCAGCCCTCATCATGCCTGAACTGATTTTCAACTCTGGTTTTACCTTAATTGCTGAGAAAATGAGGAATTTTATGCCAAAACAAAAGAGGGAGACCTGCACAGACAACCACAGATTAACCGACAACAAACTTTTCTTTTGCTGAAGTACTTAAAAATAGTAAATAGTGCAAGAAGGCAGAAAATAATTCAACGAACATTCAAGCACTAAAGAGGGGGAATGTCATCTACATTAATAATCTCTCGTCCTCCAAAAATGAAGTATTAAAGAAGAGTTTTTTTGGTACTATCAAAGATGTGTCAAATCTCTCACCTATATTGTCATTAATACAGATATGGGCAACAAACCTATGGAAACAGATGAATGGCCTCAACATATACAAAACGGGAAGGGGCCTCTTTCTTCTCGTGTTTTCCTCTAGTATTATGATTGAGAAATTACTTTCTAGAAATTGGTTATTGAACAAAATACAACTCAAGCTTCAATGGTGGAACCCATCGTCGGGTACTTCCGACTCAACAGAATAATCAAGTTCCACATAGATTAGGATCGTGGGGATCCTTCTTCACCTATGGGCCCATAAAACCTTCAAGGTCATCCGAGACCATTGTGGCGGATGGATTAAAATAAATAAATACATGTCCATCTAGAGCCAACTCAGATGGACGAGAATCAAAATCCAACGAATTGGGAGTAAGGTGTTGAAGGAGATCTCTATATAAATTGGTGGAATTACCTTCTCTCTGTAAATATGGAATGCACTTCAGCTATGACAACTATCAAATATAGAAGAATTTTGAACCGCATTACCTAATAGTCATTGAATTTTTACATAGTAGATACAAATACTGGCAGTCTATCACCTACACACTCAACAATGATAGCACATGCCAATGCCGAGCATGGGATAGTAACAATAAATGCCAATTTGAGTCACATTTGACAATGATAACACATCCTAATGCTGAGTTACATTGGAAAACTTCCAGAAAATTTAAATCCTTCGGGCTAGGTTAAATTTAATTCTGGAGGCCCAATTAAATCAGACCCAAAATTTATTTCTTAAATCTATAGCCCAACTATAAATCAATAACACTCTTAATTAACTACACAACAATCGAGTTGTGGCCTCAAAATTCCTAGAATCATATATGACTTTGGAAGCTTGCTTTGTAGATCCACGAGATATAGAGAAATCGATTGAAGTGACATCAAAAGGAACCTTGACTATGAAACTTGAGATTACCCCTCATATAGGTAAATAGACTGAGATTAATGATCATCCCAAAGAAATAGTAGAGCGTACAACCATGCATGTACCCAACTCAGATAAGTGCAACTTGCAACTGTAGCCTGTCCACAATGTCAATCGGCTACCACCCAGTCTCCTGCATCCCTAGAGTACACAGAGATAGAGGCTTTAGACTGGGTGAATTCTCACTCTCTCAAACAAAGCCATACTTACGGAGTATCATTTGAAGGTTTAGAAAAGGAAACACTAGCCATTTTCATATAGCTAGATAAAAGAAAAGAGATGCTAAAAAAAGAAAGAGTAGGAGAAGATAATCACCACCCCAAAAAGTAAGAGACTCACTAACAATGAATTGAAGAATTTGCAATCTAGTCTCAACCAGGTAGACGGGGTCAGAAATAGGAGGGAAACTCTCAATCTCACTTATAAATGCATGTAAACCTAATTTCATGGTATGTGATGGCACTCAACAATATAGAAAATAGGAATCTTGTTAAGAGTTTATTGGAATGGGAGGCTTCTGATGTCTATTTTTTCAAAGAAACAATGTTAAATTGAGAGGGATGAAGTAGCCAAACAATTAAGGCCTTCTAGATGGATGAAATATCATTTCATCAAAGTTTTGGGAAGCAAGGGGGGTCGTAATAATGTGGTAGAACAATGTTTGATCAAGGATAATGGTTGAAATAAGGCAACACTCTATCACCTTTGAATTTGTCCATTCTAACAACTCTTTTATGTGATACCTAACCGGTGTCTATGATCCACCTGTTAGAAGTGAAAAATTATTATAATGGGAGGAAATCACATCTTGTAGCAAACTTTTTTAAGGTTCTTGGGTAACTTGTGGAGATTTCAATAAAAACAGATTTATGTTAGAAAGAAAATGGTGCTTTAGAATCACTAATGTGATGTATGCGTTCTTTAGATGGATCGAGGAGATGAAACTTCATGACCCCCATCTTATTGGAGATAATTTTACTTTCTTTAGAGGCATCAACCATTCTAGTGAATATATTTCCTCTCCCTCTCAGAATAAGAAGACCCTTTCAAAAACATCAGACAAAGAGTGGGGTAAAACTCGTGGAATAAATATGGAGGGTTTCGGCAAGTTTGTAATTAAATAACTAGTGGAATGAATTTTAGTGGATGGATGTCCCGACTTCAGGTTCAATACCAAGTTAAAAATTGTAATGCTCAAAGAGTGGAGTAAAACTGCTTTTGGAGAATCAACCAGTAAGAAGAATAATTTACTTGAAGAATTCGTTGCCATTGACTTAATTCAGGAAAGTAAAAACCTGACCGAAGAAGAAATAATGATTATAGCAATAATGATAGTTGAGTTACAATATTTGGCTGGATAAGATGAATCCATGTGGAATAGAAATCAAGAGTTCTATGATTAAAAAGGTCAGAACAACACAAATTTCTTCCGAAGAATGCCAACAATACAAGAGATTCAACACCATTGATAGACTGATAGTGAATGGTGAAGAAACTCTGTAATCTACAGTGATAAAGAAGATATTATAGTTTTCTCCAAAAATTTGTACTTAGAAGCTGAACCTTGGAGGCCTACTTTTAATTTAGAAGGGTTTCCCAGAATCACAAATTATGAGAATAAATAGCAACCAGGACCCTTATGAGAATTAGAAGTACTACACATCATGAAGAGTTGTAATGGGGGAAAAGTGCGTAGTTCAGATGGTTTCGCCATGAGATTTTTTTAATTTTGCTGGGATACTATAAAGGTAGATTTGATGTAGACCATCTACAAATTCAACTAGAAGAAATTGTTTGAGAAGCTTATGACTAACACCTTCATATCCTTAATTACAAAAAAGGCAAATGCCAAAGAATTAAAAGGCCTCAGACATAATATTAATATAAGGGACTTACAAGCTCATCTCAAAAATTTTAATCATAGAATTAAGTATCATGGGACAACTGGTGGACGAGAAGCAATGAACATTTTGAAATGGAGAAAAATAATGGATGCATCATTTGTGGCAAATGAACTGGTAAATTCAAGAGTGAAGGGACAAGGTTTTTGATCATGTCAACTGGATCTACCATCTTAAGATCCTTTAAGATACGGGATTTGGTTGAAAATGGCTAAATTGAAATAAATTGTGCATATCATATGTGAGTTTCTCCCTAATGTTAAGTGGTGACGTTGTAGGTTTCTCTCAATCAAGAGGGGTCTTAGGCAGGGTGACCCCCTCTCACCATTCCTTTTCTTACTATTTATGGCTAAAAATGGTTGGTTGACAGGTTTTTGAGCTCATATAATTAGAGGAAATGGCATGAGAAATTTTGACCTACTATATGCCGATGGACTCACTTCTACTATGTGAAGAAGACGTGTCAAAAATTAGACACAACAAGGATATTCTTACAATTTTTGAAGGCATCTCTGGACTCAATGTAAATTGGCATGGGAGCTACCTCTAGAAAGTCAACGAATTCCTAAATATGGAGTTTTTGGCCATTAATGCCGGTTTCAATTTTTCTTACCTACCCATCAATTATCTAGGCATGCCATTGGGAGCTAAAAATAAGGAACTCAATGTATAGAGAACAATATCAGAGAGATGTAACAAGCGGCTATCAATATTGAAAAGACTATTTATTCTTGGGAGGCAGATTGACATACATAAAATCCCTCATGGATTAATTGCCCACCTATATGATGAGTTTGTTTTCCATCCCAAAGAGCACTGAAAAAAATATCAAATGAGAAGGATCTTTATGTTTCATGGAAAAAAAAAGAAATAAAGTCTACAATCTGATGAAGTGGGATGTCCTTACCTTAACATTAGACAAGGAATTTTAGGCATCAAGAAACTCAACCTCCACATTAGTTGTTTACTGAAAAAGTAGTCGTGGAAATTTTAAACAGAAGACATGACCTTATGGAAGAGATTCATCACAGAGAAATATGGACTCCTAAACCAATAGACAACGAAAGAAGTGGAAAATACTTTTGGATGCAGTGTATCGAAAATAATTCAAAGATTCTGGTCCCAATTCAATATTAACATTTACTATAAGGTGAGGAACGGTACAAAGATCTTTGGTTAAAGAGCAGTAGATAGGTAGTGAAAGCATAAAGGCCGCCTTCCCACACCTCTACGACCTGAGTCTCAAGATAAATGAGATTGTTACTAGATATGGAGACCACAAGGGTGGAATTTCATCTTTGATGAGATTTAAATGACTGGAAGGTAGACAAAACAGCTAGTCTTCTACGTCTTTGACCTTTTTCCAGGTGTCTCGATAATTCTAGGATAACTTCTATGATATTGCACTGTAAAAGAGTATTCTCTGTCAAATTTTATGCTACTAGAAGAACAACATCATCTTCTCCTCAACAAGGATTTGTCCTTGGAAACTAATCTAGAAATTAAAATCCCCTTCAAGGTGTCCTATTTTATGGGGTTGGTGATCAGGAGAGCTTGCCTAACTCACGAAGCACTACAGAGAAGAGGGTGTGCAAATTTGCTGAAGGTGTTTTCTTTGTTACAAGGAGGTAGAGGTAGACAATCAGCTCTTCCTACATTGCAAAACAACTGTAAATCTGTGGAACATGTTTTTATGTAAACTTGGAGTAAGCTGAACAATGAATACATACACTTTTAATCTACTGAGGAGCTGGGAGACAATTGGAAAAATAAATTCTAGAGGAGACTGGTGGAAACTAATTCCAACTGGCATTTGGTGGACCTTATGGAAGGAAATAAATGCAAGGTGTTTTGAAGGAAAAATCGACAACATCAAGATAATTAGAATTACTTACATTAGCCTTCATTATTTTTGGTGTAAAGAAGACATGGTGGGGGATATAGATTTATTAGTTGACTTCATAGGACAAATTGTAAAACCTTAGCCCTGGTTTGTTTGTTTTTGCAATAACATGGGAGGATTGTAACTAACCTTTTTTTTTGTGAATAAAAAGTTGCCTTTATAAAAACAAATAGTGAAATTCCCCTACTTACTGCTCATCCAATCAGGAAAATCAGTCTGATGTTCATTAAAAGGTGGTTTCTTACTCTCTATAATATACTCTACCATTTCTGCTGAGAGTTTTCTGGCCAGTTTTTGTTCATTCCATCCACCAATTGTAGTTAACTCCCTCACTTCTACATCTTACTCAATGGCAATATCACTCTCAATATATAAGAGGGCTCCCAATTTTTTCCAATTATCAAATAAAAACCAGGAATTTTCTACGTTTATCTGCCACCATATATTGTGCTTTACTTCCTCCCTTATAATTATAATCTTTCTCCAAACATGTAATGCACCCCCACCAATAGTTATAGTTGGATGCAATTTCTTGCAATACTTGTACCCCATATATCCACACCACAAACAACAAATTAATGTCCTAAAATTCCAGCAATGATTTGCAAACAAAGCCTTCGATACATTATGCAAAGACCTGAAACCTAGACCCCTTTCTTCCTTGGGATAACAAATGCTTCCCCATGAAACCTTGTGCTTGTTCATAGATCAAGTTGCATCTCCCCAGAAAAATTTAGCAAATAGCTTATGTAATTAGTTTATTACACTAAATGGGGGATTCAGGGCTGATAGTAAATCCATGGGCATAGATTGCAAAACTTGTGCTATTGAAATATATACCTTTCCCCACAAGATAGTAATCTATTCTTCCATATAGCATTATGTTAGCGACCTTTTTAATAAGAACTACAAAATGACCTTTATTTTTCCTTCATAGAAAATAGGAAAATCTAGATAAGTAAAAGGAGAATTACCTTGCCTGACCCCTGTTATCCTCTTTGTTTGATGACACTGTACTACAAGGACTTTATAATGTCCATAACAAATGCTTTTGTCTATGTATATCATTTCTCCAGACACCCCCTCATATATTCTTAGCATAATCATCCTCATCCTCATTGACTTGTGTTGTCCTGAGCAAGAAAAGAATAGTGTCATCAACATATAATAAGTGTTTTATTTGCGGACTCCATTTAGGCGTCCAAAAACCCTTAAAGTCACTATGTTAAAATGAAAAATTTAGGATCCTGGTCAACAATTCAATTGCTATTATAAATAGGGTAAGTGATAAGAGGTCACCCTCTTTCAAACCTCTAGAAGATTGAAATAAGCCAAAGGCTTTTCCATTCATTAGAACTGGGTACTTATTATTGCTTACTAGCCTTACTGTTAGTTCAATTTATTCTTTCAGAGAATCTAAATCTTCTCAAGACCTGGATAAAGTATTTCTAGTAGACTCTATCATATGCCTTTGTCATGTCTGATTTTACCACTACAATATGCAAATTATTTCTCTTATTGATGTCCCCTATTATTTCTTGAGCCAAAATTACATTTTCAGTCATACTCCTCCCTTTAACAATGCCCGACTAGTTATTAGAAATCAAACTAGGTAACACCAATTAAACTCTTTCATGTATCAACCGATATAATTTAATCAGCAAAAGTATTCAAGCTAATAAATCTTAAGTCCAAAAAATTATCCACCACATTCTTCTATGGTATCAGCACCAGATTTGTATGTGTTATGAATCTGGGCAAATCATATCCACTGAAAAATGCCCTTGCGATATTCTATTCATCATGATTATGATAAAAAGTTAAGGACTCAAAATTGTGGAATTGTTGTATTGGGTGAGAAAGATGAAGATAGTGAAAACCTTGATTAATATTGAGTTTTAGCTGGTGCAATTGAGTTGCAATTTGTCATGGATAAAAGAGTAACTTTATTTTGATGTAATTGATCTGATGTGTATGATGAAATAAAAGAAGTTAAAAAGAGTGAGTGTGATTTTGTGATTGTTAATCCATGAAGATTTTCAAAAACAAATGATCCATTTGATTTAGTAGATCAAAGCATCAGAAGTATTTTATGTTGATGACACTTCCAAGAAAGGTTGGCAAGTAGTGAGGAAGATCCAATCTCATGATTCCTATGAAATTGTTGAACAAATGGATGATGATATTGTAGAGTTAAGAAGTTCTTCCAAAAGAAAAGAAAAAGAACTAATGAAATTAATTAATATCTCTTATGACTTAGTATATTCATCCATAAATGTTATGATGGAAAAAATTCCTTTTTAGTACATTATATAACATTTTTAGGTTTAATTTTTAACTTTTTGGCTCTTTTTGCAGGTTCAGGATGAAACAATTGAGGATTGAAAATGAGGTCGATTCTAATATGAAGAATACTATTGAATATACGTTTATCACGCCTAGTGCTATTGAAAAGGGACAAGGACGAGGGCTTAAATCTTTGGATGAGAAATGAACTTTACCATCTAAGAGTATATTTCCTCAATCAAGTGATCTATTTGAGAAGAACTTCAAACGTCCTCCTCAACTGAATGACCACAGTCTTTTCAATTGACCAGGTTAGTAACAATATATCTGACTTTTTAATTTATTTTGTTGAAACATAACAACGTAATGAATGTATAATTAAATAACAAAAATTGGGTCTGTTGAGGTGAAAAAAAGTATTCCCAGTCAAACAAGTAAACTTTAAGAATGATGGAATAACAGACTTGTTTCCTATTGTATTAAGTGTGCAGTAGATTAAGATACAATATCGAAAATGAATCTTGTTCTCTTCTTTTTCGTTAGAGTCGGTGACTTGTTATTGCTTACAATTGACACTTTATACGTATGTGTGTGTGTGTGTGTGTATATATATATATATATATATATATAGATAAATCACATTCAATGGCCCTGTTGTGCTAGCTTGCATATTTTTGTCAGCATTGGCATGTCACTCTATAATAGTTGTAGTCTAATACGGTTTGACAACAACTTCGAAGACAACATTTTATGTTCTACCATATTTTCAATAATTGGGAGTCATTTTTGTATTGAGAGTTTTCTTATTGAAAGTGGTATTTTGTGAAGACGAGCGAAATTTATTTATATTTATATAGGAAGTTGAGTTGTTTGAGCAATGTTGTCTATAGTGGTATGCAAAATTAGTGAATGTTCAATGAATAGTCTGGCGAGAAGACGAGGTAAGGTGAGGCGACTGTAGAAAATTTTTGCAACCATAATTTTTGTATGCTGGCTCTGTTTTTAAATTTTAAGCTGCATAAATTTTATATTTAAAATTTCTAGTATGTGGAAAACTTGCAGGCAGCTGCTCAATTTTTTTATGCTGGCTCAATTTTAAATTTTTGGCACTGGTGCAACATTGCAGCCTGCTGCTAAATTTTTTGTGGTCTTTGTTTTAAACTTTCTGCAGTGCTGAAAAAATGCAGCCAACTGCTCAGTTTAGTAGAAATCTCACGAAAGCATGGAAAAATCAAAGATGTATTGATAACTATAATGTTTAGTTACATGCTCCTTGTATAGGAGAAGATTCCTATTGTAGGTATAATAGGAATCCTACTACAACACAAATAATTACATAGGTAGTATTTTATTACACGTCAAATACCCTATCCTAGTCGACTCCAATAATATTCAGTAGCTTAGTCGTACATTACTTAGGATTTAGTTGTCTAGTCGTAGTATGAATTAACTCTAAATCGTAAGCCTACTTCGATGGATCTGTTCCTTTGACGTGTTCCGTCAGTCGTTAAGTTTCCTTCAACACTTCCACTCAAGCTAGTGAGTGGAGAAACTGTAAGTCCTAACTAGCTACAAAATCAGAGAAGACCAATTGTGTTAAGGCTTTGGTATTAATATCAGCTTTTGATCCTTACACTTCACAAACTAAGAACTCATCCCTTGGCCACTTTCTCATGAACAAAATGACAGTCCATTTAAACATGTTTTGTTCTAGCATACATAACTGGATTATTTGTCCTGTACAACACTTTCATTATCACAATACAACATAGGAACAGATCAAACGAACATTCCAAGGTAATAAAGAAGATACAAAATACAAGTCATTTCTGCGGCAGTGGAGGCTAGTTCTCCATGCTCTGTTTCAACACTAGATCGGGCTACTGTGTTCTGTTTCTTGGAGGTCCATGAAATACAATTTGCACCTAGGTTGCTGCTATAGCATGTAGTTGATCTCCTTGTTGTGGTACAACCTCCCAAATAAACATCAGAGTAGCCATACAACCTACGTGGTGATTGTGAAATAATTCAGAGTCCAAAGTGTATAGTACTTTTGATGTACCTAGGAATCCTTTTTACCCCTTGAAGATGTTGAATGCATGGGCTTTATATAAACTATCCCGCTAAATTCACATCATGAGTGATATCAAGTCTTGTGAGGATCAAATATTGAAGTCTCACTACTATCATTCTGCAAAAGAATGCATCTACAAGACTTCCCACAACTTCATCCAAACCATGTTTTTACCCAAAGAAGTGTCTAAAACCTTTGCCAAAGTCATCTCTGTCTTGGACAACAGCTTAACAACATACTTGCTTTGATTTAAGTGAATTCCACCTTCGAAATACTTAACCTCAATTCTTAGTAAGTAGTGTAATGGGCCCAGATCTTTCATAGAAAACTCCTTCCCAAGTTTTAGAACCAACTCTGAGACATGAGGTGGACTACTTCCTTTGACAACAATATTATCTACATAAAACAAGAAAAATATTTTGCATTTATGAGTTTGCAAAGTAAATCAGAAAATGGTCAGCCTTATTACAAATGAAACGAAGGTGTAAGAGATGCATGCTAAACATATCAAACAAGGATCTGGTGCTTGTTTAAGACCATACGATGCCTTTTTAAGTAGACATACATGCTGAGGATAATGTGATCAATAAAACCAAGAGGTTGACTCATGTACACCTCCTCTTGTAGGAATCCATGAAAAAAGACATTTTTGACAACTAACTGTCTAACTTCCTAATTTGAACTGACGGCAATGGGTAGAACCACCCTAAAATTTGTATCTTTAACTACAAGACTAAATGTTTCTTCAAAATCTGTCAATTCAAACTGCAAGAATCCCCTAGCCATAAGTCTGGCCTTATATCTATCTATTGTACCATCAAAATTTTTAATTTTGCCTTAAACACCCATTTGACCCAACCAAGTGTATACCAGGAGATTTGGGCACCAAAATTGATATTTTGTTAGTATGTATAGTATTAATATCTTCGTCCCTTGCTGCAAGCCAATGAGGTTATTTTAGTGATTCCTTAGTAGTATTTGGTTCTCCCACAATTTTTGTGCTACTGCAAGCAACAAGTGAAAGGTGATGTTCCTTCGCCTTGTGCCTGGTGATCATATGATGCCCTTGTGGTGCAGGAAGTACCTCAATCGGTACATCAACCAATGTAGTTGACTGGAGTGTAGCATTGTCAGGTTGATGGTCAATTGGTCCATCCACTAAAGTGGTTCTTTGATGATGATCATTGTTTTGAACTGGAACAGAAACACATTCCTCACTGCTCCCAATATATTAAAAATCTGCAACTAGAGTTTCAACACTACTGTATGGGTCAACAGTTTCAACTTGTTCCTTAGAATCTGATCTTGCGCCTGAGAAGTTAATAGTACATCTCATCATCAATGAGTACATGACGTGTAGCTACATTATCACTATCAATGTGTGGGCTAGCAACATGTACTTCTTTTGAATAAAAATTAGCATGTGCCAGCAGTTTAGAGAAAGATTCAACAAAAGTAGCAAGGTGTGGTGAGACATCAATGTTAGTTTGAGATTGCTTTAGAGACATATAGGGTAATGTGTTTTCAACAAAAACAACATGTCTTGATATGTAAACTGTCATTGTACAGGGATGATAGCCTATATATCCTTTGTGTAATTTGTTGTACCCTATGAACACACAATGGTAGGTCTTTGTACCGAAGTTATATAGCACCAGAGTTATATTCTAGTTATAATAAGAATCCTACTACAACACAAATATTTACATGGGTAGTATTTTATTACAAGTCAAATACCCTAACATACACGACTCTAATAATGTTTAGTAGCTTAGTCGTACAAAACATAGGGTTTAGTATTCTAGTCCTAGTATGACTCTAACACTGACTCGCCGACCTGCTTTGATGGACCAGTAACTTCGACGTGTTCCATCAGTCTTTAAGCTTCCTTAAATAGTTTACCATTAGTTTCCAACTCTTATATATATTGGCCATATTAGTGCACCCCTTCTTGTATGATCTAGACATGTACAAAAAATAGTTAATATCAGTCAAGTACTCCCAAATTTTTTTCTTTTCGATATCAAATAACGCAAACCACAGTAAAAAGAAAGAATGTTATTTAAGATTTCATACCAAATATTACCTTGTCTAGGCTTTTATTCGACATGAAATCATAGACAAGAAATTTTTCCACTCCATTAAATCAGTATCCCTATAAATTGGTTTGGTAACGATGTTGTCGCTTTGCTATTAACTTGACTTCATTCTCGAACTTAGTAAATTATTGTCGTGAAGTCATGTCTTGCTTCTTTACTGCTATTTATACATTATTCAATAGTACACTCTACAAATATTATGTATCATTTTTGTATTAATTATGGTGTCCGTGTTACTGTAAATATGCATTTTCATGCTTGTTTAAAAGAAATAATAACCATATAAACATTGTCAAATCCGGCATGCCCTATCTTATAAAAAAATGTGTACGACTAATAAGATAGGGCAAGATGGCTTTGGCAATGTTTATAAGGTTATTATTTCTTTTCGACAAGCATGAAAATGCTTATTTACAATAACTAATATTTTAAAATTAATACCGAAATGATATATAATATATGTAGGGTGTATTAGAGGATGGGGAGTAGAAATAACAGGGAAGAAGCAAGACGTGACTTCACCAAAGGATATACTAAGTTCGAGAATGAAGTCAAATTAATAGCAAATGTACAACATTGTAACCTAACCAAGTTGTTGGGATACAACATTAATGGAGTAGAAAAATTCCTAGTCTATGAGTTCATGACGAATTATAGCCTAGGTAAGGTCATATTTAGTATGACATATTACATAACATTCTTCTTTTTACTATTGTGGGTGTTGTTTTTGATATTGAAAAGCGACATAAAATAGAAATTAAGGAGTATTCAAGTGAAATTTAGCAACTGTATTCTCTACATGTTAAAATCCTCCAACAAGGTGTATAGTAACATGGAGAATGAGCAGCTGGCTGTAATTTTTGAACAGTGAAGAAGTTACAAAAAGAGAGCATAAAAAACGAGAAACTGGCTGCAATGTTGCAACAGGCAAAAAATTTTAAAAATAAATTTATGCAGCCATCATTCAATAGGATACATCCACTGATAATGATTCGGTCCAGAAATTTAAGCTTCAGTAGCTAAATAAACTTGTAAGTTCACCATGAAATAAAAAAAAAGACGGAGGGGAGACTTTTTCTATCTTGCAAAAATGTTTTTGGTATGTGTGCTTCAATAAGTTCCAAGTTTTCAATT